CAGGACACTTCTTTGAGGGGACTTTTACGCAAAGTGTAGGTTTTCTTCACTTTGAAAAAGTTTCGGAAAAGTATACTTTCAGCCCAATCAAAAATGGAACTGTGAAAAGTACGGAAAACAAGTCCCGAAGCCAGCTGCAATTGATGGTGGATTGGACTACGAGGGAAAGATCTGGTTCACGGTTCTCATAAATCAATTCGAACCAGCTGGAGGGAATCGAAGATTCGCTCAAGCCACGGCGAGATATTTTGGAAACGTTGTTGAAGGTGAACTCGACGGAACCAAACTGACATTAAGCTGTAATGGAAAGAAAGTCAAGATTCAACGACGAGGAGTTGGAGAGAAGGATTACGTCTGGATGGTTTTGGAAATTCTTCCTACTCAAGCTTAACTGTTCTTTTTGATTCTTTGATAAAACTGTCATGTTGTATGCTACATTTATTTATTTATTTCTATAGCTTTGAAAAAAGTTAAAGCAATGATGTTTGACGACTTGATCTTGAAGATCAGCCTATCGGCTCTTCCATTGACCAATTTACGGACCGAGGTTCCTCAGACTTCTGGAATGGTGCATTCCGGTAGTTCGGCGGTCGAAGATATGTTTTGGCTTCGATTGGAACTTCCATGAGAATACACTTGCAAAAAATATGGTCAGATGACGCATGAGGAGAAATTTTTTTATCCAAAATGTTTCATTCTATTCAATTCTCGAAGAAACTTTTTAGACTCTAAAAGATCAAACTACATGTAAATTTGCAAAACTGTTGAACGAGATCAATGGTAACTTTTGCCTGTATTCAAAAGATCAGAATATAAATATCTGCGATTAGTTTGCCTCATTCACGAAATGCATTCATTTCTCCCTGTCTTTTTCATCTTGGCTCTTCAAGAGTCCGCAAAATCTGCTCTCCGGGTCAGTTTTTCTTTAAATCGAAGCATCTAAAATTCTCTGATGTTCAGACATGCACACCTGCTGAAAATAATCTTCCCGGTGGTCTCTGGACAGAATGGGAGACCACTGCACCTTGCCCAACAGAGTGTGGATCTTGCTCAAAGCGTTTTTCAACCAGGACCTGTCTTTCTTCGAGTATCGGAAAAACATGCACGTGAGTTTAGATTGGTTGTCAAACGAACGATATCAATTCCAGAGGCCCTTCTACTCGACAAATCCTCTGTAACACGTCTCCTTGTATTTATCCATCTCAAAGAGCCTGCTGTGTTCCCTATGTCCTCATGGTGATTGATGGGAAGCAGCAATGTGGACCGATTCCGAAGGATCCCAGTGGAGTTGCAACTTCTTGTTGTCCTTCTGGTGGAATGGTTTCCGAATGGAGTGGATTTTCCGTGATACCGTAACTAATATCTTTAAACGAACTCGCAAGTGTGTCTCGAAACAAATCGGATGTCCATGTACTGGATCAGCTCTCATCCAAACGCAATCTACATGTCCTTGTAAAGAGTTCGAAGATGTCAGTTCAATTGTTCGGTTCAGTCACAGAACGTACGATCTTCCGTTTATAGTGGACCAATCCACAGCCAATTGTTATGGATACAGTGACCTGCATTTCGATGGAACTGTTGGACGACCGTGTAACGATTACCCCACTTACAAAACTTTTCGAGCTACAGTAATACGATATTTGAAGCCAAATAACGATACAGTTCAAGACTTCCGTGTGTTCGATTGCCAATCAACATCGAGAACAAAGCGAGTCACTTTCTATTGTGATTTGAAGTCCGAGTATTGGAGATTGGAAGGAACCAATGAGGAGGTTCGAGGATGGAATCAGATTGATATTCGATCAAATTAACTTCTTTTTTAAAGAATAAAATTGTATTTTTGCTTTCTTATTATTGAAAACCTGGTTCATAATAGGAAACCTGCGAAACAGAATATGAAAAAATCCCACAGGTCAAACCAAAATACATAATTTCTATACAACATTCCAAAATTGAATAAGAATCATAAAAGGTTCAAAAAGCCAACATTTTTACATATAAAACCATCTGGGCTTTGCAAAGACTTCCAGCTACGCCTTCCGGAATAATGAAGACGTTGTTTGTCTCTCTGTCACTAATCTTATTTGAGGTTTCTGAAGCAGCTCTTCCTGTGAGTTAGCATCGTTATTCAGTTTATTGGTAATGATAACAATAAGCTTCAGAAATGCTCCTATGACGTTTGTACCAATGGAGGACTCTAGAGTGAGTGGACTTCAACTGAAAAGTGTCCAACTGACTGTGGATCGTGTGCAAAGAGATTGTATACAAGAACATGTTTGAGCACGAATTTTCCGAATTGTCTTGCAAGTGAGTCAAAATTTCCAGAAGATTTTTTAATGAGATATTCAGAGGAGAATCCGTTCGTAAAATCCTTTGCAACACCCACGTCTGCGTCTATCCGGCTCAACGAACCTGCTGTATTCCATATGTTCCAATGACAATTAACAAAACATCTCAATGTGGACCATTACCAAAGGACAAACTATTATCGAGTGAGGCCCCATGTTGCCCAAAGGATGGTTTTTGGTCCCAATGGAGTGGATACATACGTGATGAGAGCGGAGGATGGAAACGGTCACGAAAATGTCTCTCCGATTCAGCTGGTTGTCCATGTGACAACCCAACTAATAATGTGGAGATTAGCAAAGAATGCCCCTGTAAGAAAATGGTGGATGTCACGAATATTGTAGCCGACACTCAACGTCCAGTACAACGACACCAGTTGCACAGCATTCCAAACCATGGAGCACTACAATGATCAAAACAAAAAAGTTGTTCCTTGCAACCGTTGGGGAAACGGAAAATACCTTTGGGCAAACCTCATTCGATACGTTCTTCCGAACAATACAAGAAGGGAGGAACGAATCCAGGACTGTGTTTCGAATGGGCCAAAACAAGTGACTTTCTATTGCGATTTGGTTTCTGAGTACTGGCGATTGGATGCTAATAACGAAGAAGTCGTCGGTTTCAACCAAATCAACATCATTTAAAGGGGGACTCCCACCAAACATTTTTATGCATTAAAATGTGTTAAAATTTATCTATTTTCCTAATATTATTGCGAAAAAATTCAAAATAAATCCGAAATCCCCGAAAAACGCCGTTGAAAATGAAAAAAATTCAAAAAAGGTGCCGCCGGGGGACGAGGATTTGAATTCCCGCGCAGTGAGAAACCTAGGCCACGGCGCCTGACAGCATTATTTTCAAGTGGCCGACAGTGTTTTTTAATGTTTTTTACCTGTCGGAGATAAAAGCAAGAAAAATCCGGAAAATTTGTACGGTAAGAAAGTCGCGCCGCTCGCGTGGCCTAGGGGTCTCACTGAAAATCCTCGTCCCTCGGCGGCACCTTTTTTTGAATTTTTTTCCTTTTCAACGGCGTTTTTTGGGGATTTCGGATTTTTTTCGAATTTTTTCGCAATAATATTCTGAAAATAGATAAATTTTAACACATTTTAATGCAATAAAAAAATTGACCGGAGTCCCCCTTTAATTTTTGGTCTTGACAACGAATGAATATTTGCAAATTATCTTTGCTCCGAAACTCGAAAAAGTTAGAGACCATACTCCATATTTCGTTTGAAGTGATCTTTCAAAAGACTAAAAAGTAACAACAATGATCACTCAGACACAGAATACATTATTTTGCATAACAAAGGAAATCAAGCCTGTGATGATCTTGTCGATTTGGTTAAAAGTCAGGTATTTTACTGTTTGTTATATACCATGAAAATATTCATAAATATCATTATATTCCTGGCTTTTTTCTATGAATCCCATTGTGCTTTGCCTGTAAGGATTTGTTGATTTTCATTAATTAGGCAAAAAGTAATCTTTAGAACTGCGCAAATGGAGTCGCGTGTCCGCCGGGTGGGATTTGGAGTGAATGGGTTACAACGGATAGATGTTCAACTGATTGTGGGTCTTGTTCAACTATGTATTACACGAGAACATGTATGACTTCTCCGACTTGCAGTTGCACGTGAGTAAAAGTCTAGAAGTTCTGTCGATGATCTAATAAGAGCCCACCCTACACGCGCACTCACGGCGTTGCACGATTTAACCTCCAGCAAATGCGCTTTGTCGCTAAAGGCGTTGGCACCGTGCCAAGTCATCATTTTTTTGAATTGAAAATTGAAAATTCCAAGCCAAAATTTAGCCGCGTTGCGAGCCGCAACGCGCCCAAAAGAACTGGGACGACATTGAATGCATGTACCCTCTTCCAACCCCGTGCGCACTTTGATCTCAACTATCTCGGTTTTTTGGAAGATATCAAAAAGTGGTCAACTGATAAAATGTTGATCATAATAACATCAGCATTTTATCAATTTACTAGTTGTGCGATATCTTTCATGATAACCGAGATAATTGAGCTCAACGTGCATACATTGTCTATTGGAGCACTTACGGTATACCACTTTAAAAAGCACAGATGTTTTTACTGTCTGTCACCGAAGGCTAATTTTTGAAATACTGCTCATACGTTATCTTGCTATTCCCTATGTCCCCTAACCGACAACTTTGGGCCCTTATATCTCGGGTCCTGTAATAGATATACAAAAGTAGTCAACTGATACAACGTTTATTATAAAAACAGAAACATTTTGCAGAGGTGGCAACTGTTAGATATCTTCAACAAGAATTGAGATAAATTGATTTTAAGTTGAAAGTCAGGGATGGCGTTCTATTAGTGTTTACGACATATTTGTTCGAGGCATCTCTGTTATACTAGCTTTCAGCGGAAACAACACTCACTATCTACCATGCAATACCCAAACATGCGTTTACCCGGCGCAACGTGCTTGCTGCGTTCCCTACGTTCCAATGGTAATCGATGGAAAACAACAATGTGGACCATTCCCAAAAGACACTGGTGCAGCTGCATGTTGTCCAACTGCTGGAGTCTGGAGTGAATGGGGTCCAGCCGTTCGAAACAGCGATAACACAGCTTTTGAGCAGTCGAGAACATGTTTGTCAGCCGCAGCCGGATGTACTTGTACTGGAAATAGGATTAATCCGTGGTCATCGGATAAGTGTCCTTGTCCAGACTTCCAAACTGATTTGAATGATAAACTCTTAGAACCGACAGAAAGTTTTTCAATACGTCCCTCTGGTGTAGTATACGATAGAATAGCATGCACATACACCACTCCTTTGAACTCCACGGAATGGAATTGTAGCAGCTCAAGTAAGTCGATGCGAATTTTTTTCAAGATGTTTTCTATAATCATTTCAGGAGGATACCAATCAACTACGCTTTTGAGATATATAAGAGCAGATAATGGTGAAAGGGAAGATTATCGAGTGGGAGACTGCAAGGATACTTCGGACGAGAAACATAATGTCACTTTCTATTGTGACTTTTCGACTCTTCAATGGCGTCTCACCAACAATAATGTTGCAGTGTTGACATTTAATCAAGTTTCCAAAAAACGTTGAATTACGTTTTCAATAAACTTTCTGCGCATACAAACTGTGTAAAATGTATTTTAAAGGTGGTGTGCGGTGAAATTTTTTATTGCTTTATTTTGTGCAGAAATCTATGTAGTTTCCCATAAAAATAAAGAAAAATTCAAAAAAATTCCTTCATTGCGAAAAACGCATAGTGTTAACAAAAACCAAAGTGTTAACTGGTGGCCGAAGCGGATTTTCTAGGCCAACTGCGGATAAAAGCGCGCGAATTTCGAATTTTTATCGATTTTCATCATCGATTTTCAGAAGGAATTTTTTTGAATTTTTTCTTTATTTTTATGGGAAACTGCATAGATTTCTGCACAAAATAAAGCAATAAAAAATTTCACCGCACACCACCTTTAAATGTGGGGGGACATGAAAAAATTAATTTCATCGAAATTCCGTTTGAATATGCCCCTCGAGGAGTTGAACTTGTGGGGGCGAGAATTGAGGGTGCGGCGCCGCTACCGACTGAGCCACGCGGGTAAAGAGAAAGCGGATTGCATACATAAAGACGAGGACGACAGCTGTATGCAGAGTGACATTAAGCGTTGTACACCGTTACGGTAGAATGCACACTCTGGCTACAAAAATCCTACGAAAAATCTCCTGTCCCCCCACTTTTAAATTCATTAAGTCATCGAAAAATGTGTTTATTCAAAATCAGTCGTAAATACATAATGCAGTCGAACCAAAATAATTTATAACTTCGAAGATTGTGATCTCTTTTGCAAAAACTGTGCCAGGTCACAGACCCATCGTGGTTGCTCATTTGTGTACTTTCGGAATTCTTCCATAATATGATCATAAGCCTTTCCATCAGACGCTCCCAGTGCAGAATTCAAAATGAAGTCATCTGGAGCAATGGAATCTACGAGAGCCATGGATTCTGGTTTGACATCTGCCACTGCTTTTCTCAGTTTCTCTCTCAATTCTTCTCCGAACTTTCCTCCAGAAGCATATCCAGTAATATACAGCGTAGCCAAATGTCTTTCCAGCAGGAATAGAGAAAATAGATTCAATACTTTTTGAAGTACTCCCTTCAAAGTGACGTCTTCTACATCTTCTACAAACTTCTGCACCCAATCGATCATTGTATGTTCCGTATATGCAATGGAGAGGTTTACAGCTCGATGTACTTGAATTTCATTTCGAACTTCAAATGAATTCTTCCCGGATTGTTTCAGCTTGTTGGCTTCAGATGACGTGGTTTGAAGAAGGTGATATGTAAGATAACGATACGCGGAGAGAGCATCATTCACTGGATCCGAGGTCCATGAAGAAAATTTAGAAGGTTTTGAGTTCAAGAAGGTCATGGTTGACATCGGAGTGTTGATTAATCCAATTGATGCAACCTGAAACACTGATTTTAGATTGGAATGTTATTTTGGTTTACCTTTCCCAATAGGATGTTACTGGTTTGCTGAAGAATCATAAAGTTTTCTCCTTCAAAAGTCTGTGATGGATCATTATCATCTCGAAGTGTGTTGAGTCGAGACATGTGAAGGAATCTAAACTTTTTTTAATCCGAAAATTTCGTTTTTTTCCTGAATTACCCATGGCCTCCGCAAGCCTTTCGCGCTTCTCCAAGGGATTCCACTCCAAGCCACGTGGCAACTGGCTTCGCTCCAGAAGACAAGGCATGAACTTCTTTCGAAAATTCAGACAGCTCTTCTGATTTCTCTCCCACCATTACTCTCATCATGTACTCGGTGAATTTCTCAACGAATCTGTAGCATTTACTGATGAAAACTGTGGGAAAACTGTGTGATTCTCACGTTTTCTGGAAGATTCTGATACAAATGGCCGCAGACAGATATGGGAAAAGGCGATACTGTTGAAGAGGGTACTCCAGAACCGGTATCTCATTTTCAGCTGAAACTAGGAAGTAGAAATTCTAATTAAAAGAAAGCTTGAATCACCTCCTTTCTCTGGTCCAAATTGTCGTCTTGCGACACTATATCGAATGGCAATAGTGGATGCAAAAGTGCATGCCATCATTCCTTTTGCAATAATACCAAGTCTGTAATTTCCGTTTTTTAGAAATGAGAACTTCATAACTCCAAAAAGCCCACCTTCCCACAGAAAGTGTTCCCAAACTGACGCTTTGTTTCTCACTAGCCGATTTAAATGACGTCACATATTTTCCGTCGGGAGTAATATCACATCCCTTATTCAAAAGAGCACTCAATGGAGCTCGATGGTTTTTAAACTCCATCCATCCATTCTCTACTCCTTGCCAACATCCTGGTTTCGATCCCATATCTCCGATGGTGATTCCCGGAAAAGTTTGGAATGTTTTTGGGCATCTGACTTGGATCACAAAACCATGAAGTCCTTCGTTTTTGCCACCAACGTGAAGTTGAGCGTACACTACCACATGGGTAGCAGAGTGAGCTGGAAATAGTGAACAAAATTTGAAAATTTGAATAGATAATTCTTACAGAGGTTTCCAGCCCAACACTTGATTGCACCGATGCTGGGACAATTGAAGACTAACTGTCCATCATCAAAAGTTGCGGTGGTTTGGACCTCTGCAGTATTCGATCCATGACCAATTTCAGTTAAGCAAAATGCTCCAACAATCTGCAAAATATTGCTGTTCCAGATGGTTTTCATAATGTTTACATTGATAATTAGCAACGTTTCGTAATGTTATTGATTTAAGGAAAACCGACAAACCTCATTATTCTCAATCTTCTCCACCAATTCCTTGTGTCTTTCTGTTCCCATTGACTTCACAGCTGCTCCAAACACATTTCCATGAAGGAACAACCTAGCAGAAGTTCCTTGATCATAAGCCTCCAGCGTTTCAGTTAAGGCTTTGAAATTTTCAAGGTCCGAGTACGGCTGAAATTGTATTTTTTGGCAAAGCTCAAAAAAGCGACATTTTTTAGAACGAGCTTACATCTTTAAAAAGTCCCCATTCCACAATTTTCTTCCATCTCTGATGAACAACTTCTCGTTGTTCTTCACGACTTAACACTCGATAGTCTCTATGAAAAATTGGTTCGGATTTCATTTTAGCAACGACTTCCGCCTGAAAAAATTATTTTTCCCGTTATTTATAAGTTTGTTATATTTTGAATTACCTTCAATCGAACATGCTCTTCTCCTTCAACAACTGCTTTCAGTTTCTTCCAATCGAAACTCGCCATTTTCCGATATTTGTCAATTAACGGAGCACTCATGATGAGAGCTAAACTTGAAATTTCAATTGGTTACCTTCAATAAAAATCTGTAAAAAAGAAACAGGAAAAGTAGATATTTCCAGGTGATTTTATTACAATTAGGAAGAGTGTAGTCTTATCAAAAAATCACAAAACACGACAAAATAAAGGGGAAAAGAAGACACAGAGTAGAGGACTACAGCGGTATGACTACAGCGTGGTGTTTTGTTATAAAAAGATGTGGAAAGGGAAAGAAGTAGAAGATGTTAGAAGGGAACAAGAAATAATAGGTCATAATGATGATTAGGTGGTGTTATGTAAAATGTGAAATGTACTAAGTTAACTGAAATTATACGGGATTACGGTAAAAATTGTTTATTGTTCATTGAAGAATTTTGTTATGTTTCACATCCGTGCCAATTGGTTTTTTTAAAATAAAATTGTAATTTCAAGCGGCGATTGACTACTTATTATTCTTTTTTGGATAACAGATGGTGGGATAACAGATCGTTCACGATAACAGATCGTTTTGGATAACAGATATTCACCCGTACAAAAGTTTGTACTAACATAACATTTGAGTAAAGTTTTGTACTAGGCTCATATTTGGAGTACAGCGTATGTCTAAAGATTTACCAGTTTTAATCAGTCGGTGTAATTTTGTGCCACCCTGTACGAGAAATCCCAATTCGAATACATTTATTTTGTTTTTGTAATCAATATGATCACAAAAAGAATTTTTAAAGCAAGACAAAAAAAGCATATCGAGAGAAAAGAAAAAAAAGAGAACCAAAATGAAATGCATCGATTATACACAAGAAAGTTTTTTTACAAAATTTCTACAAAAAGAGGTAGAAATACGCAAAACGACTCGGGGGTGTGCGGGGTGGGAATTCGGAGCCTAGAAGATTACAATTGAAGTGGATTAGATGAAAATATAAATAAAAGCAAGCAAAAAACCATTTATCTAGGTGTTGAACACACCACCGCTATTCGGTGATAACGAGTCGTTCGGCGTGACTTCTCCCGCTTTGCTATTTCCACGATTTTTGTTTAGAGTACGCACTTTATGACTGGATCCGGCACGCGACACACGCTTTACTCGAATGGCTGAAATTTGGGTTAATGAAGAGGATAGATGGCATTGGAATGGGGCCGAAGGGAGATGAACTTGGATTCTTAGAGGCAGCCCTAGTACAAATTCTTTGAAAGTTCTGAAAAAAATTGGAAACTGAGCTACGAAAAAGGGACTCAGTCCTAAATGGGAATTTTTTATTGGTTTAATTTTCACAACGTGAATTTTCCGAGCACGAAACACACCTATCATATTCTTATATGACAGTCTTGAAACTGAAAAAAAATATCCTGAATTTCTTACCAATCTCCAGTTCATCTCCCTCAACTACCACACAGACAAGCACTCCGAAAGCTTACACAATGATAACAAGTGATAACAAATGTACCTACTGAGTTCGAATGCTCACTGGCGTCGTGATCACTTGGGAACGTTGGCATTGGAGCATCGGAATTCCGACGCTTTCTTGTCTCCGGCTCTTCAGTGGTCTCATCAGTCTCGTCCGTTTTCACCTCATCCTCTGGCTCATCTTCATCAATTCCCTGATCAGTGCTACGATGATGACGGTGACCTGGAAAGTGGTGTATGGTTAGGGGAATTTGGCATATGACGAAAATTAAATTCAAAATACTATGTCACAACTTCAACGCAAGAAAAAACAACGGAAAATTAATCATCCGATTTCTCACCTCCTTCGCTTCCACTCCTCTTCACCATATGATGGTCTCCATGCCCTTCTGGAGTGCTTCTCTTCTGATGATCGTGCATTTCCAACGTGTGCTCTACATGCTCTGATCTCTTCTGATGCCCATGATGGTCATCCGAACTTCTCTTTGCACGCCCGTGATGATCATCAGCACTTCGTTTGACATGTCCATGATGATCATCGGTATTCCTCTTCTCATGTCCATGGTGATCATTCTTTGCCATAACTGCCACGTGGCCTTCTGGAGTGTGAGAGCTTCTCTTCTGATGAGGATGTCCTCCTTCGGATCTCTTGATTCTATGATGATCAGTGCTTCTCTTCACCAATGTCTGAGTTGGTGGATCGGGGTGTGGCAGATGGTCAGCATGTCGTTTCTCACGATGATGAACTCCATGAGCAATTTCTACTTCTTCTTCGGTTCTCTCCGAACTGTATAATCCCCGTTTCTTTCGTGTTGAAGGATCTTCTTCTACTTCATTCAACTGCTCTTCTAGGTTCTCCTGGAATTTTTACTGTTTAGAAGACCTTACAAATTTCAAAAAGAAACTCCTAGGATAGTGTTTGTTTAGTCAGCTTTTGAACATACCTCCTGGCTTTTAACTAAATCATTTTCAGATTCCGTTGTTGTTTCCACAGAAGCATCTGTCTCCGTTTCAGTCTCTTCAGACTCGGCATCCTTTCCGATTGGAAATGAGCTCACGAAAAGTATAGAGACGCAGAGAAGTAGTATTAAGAGTTTGAAATTCATCTGAAAATATGATTTTAAGAATAGAATAGGAAGGCAAATGATCAACTGGAAGAACTGAACATTCTAAAAATATATAAAATAACTAAAAAGTATATATTTGGGCGGTGCTTGCCGAGAGTTGTTAGGTGACACGAATAAAAAAAGATTGACGAATTTGTAATGGTCGAATGCATTTTTCCAGGGAAAATCCCGGTGAGAGGAACGAAAAACGGTGGGGCAATTATAGACAACCGACCACAGTAATTTGAAGTTTTTCGATAGATGAATACTTGTTACGGGTCGCTGATTCGGGGGATATTTTTGGGATGACGACACAGAAATGTGGATATTTCTGTTTTTGGTTTTTGGTGACGAGATGATTACGGTAGAAGAGTTGGGGGAAAACAGAAGAGAGGTGTTGTCTGGATAGAAAAACTTTGAAATGACGAACAAAATGTCTGGATGTGAAAAAATGGGAAAAACAACATGACATATGTTTGTTGAGGGAACAGTTGGCTGGGAATTTGATGAATGAGTGGATGAGTCAGGGAGAGAAAATGGACAAAAAAGTTCAAAGTTTCACCTGTGGCTTCTATTGTTCAAAGGTACCTCTGACGGGCCCTTGAATTAAAGGGAATCATTCTTTTTTTTCATTTTTTCGGACTGTTCGGTCGAAAATTTTAGTGAATTCTGGTTCAAAATTTATGGAAATCTGTCGATTTCACAAAAAATTGTTATTTGTGAAGATAAAATTGTGTTTTTGTGTTTTTTTTAAGTTACAGGTTCTTCATTTTCACCGATTATGAGGGTTTGAGAAGAAACCTAGATTGAATTTCGTAAATTTTGTCGTCTTGGCTAAATTTTGTAATAACAATGACACCAGCACCGAGAAAAATTTTCTCTGGGCCGGGCTGGAAATGAGCAAGAATGGTTTCAACAATTTTCTGTAAAACTGGGATATTTTCATGTTTTTCATGGAAAAAGTACGGAAATTTTTAATCTCAGAAAACCAATTTTGAAGGGGCCCTTCTATTACAGGGACTCTTCCATTTTTCCAACCCCTTCTGTAGGACCCTTTTATTAGAGAGTCCCTTCTATTGAAGGACCCTTCTAATACATGTTTTACGGTAATGCTGAACATGGTTGAACCATACCTCACAACAGAATATATTTAAGTTAATGCCATCTTTCGACTCTTTAAGCGTTGTTAATACATTCCAAAGTTCCCACAAAATTCCATAATTCATAGCAATTAATTCCCCAGAAGTGAAACTAAAAAATCAAATTAATACAAACTGACAACTCTTCATAAATAGGTCAAATGGAAAGTGAGAATAAGTTGAACGTATTCGATGAACCATCCCGAATCATTTTCAATCGATGTCTAAACAGGAAAATCGTCAGAAATGTGACCGCTGAACCGATTGTGAATTGAGTGTGGAGACTTGAACAGTGCTCTGGAAAATCGAAAATCCGTTTTATGAAATAGTCGAAATGACTCACTATTCTGACTTTCTCACATTTCAAAGTCCGCACGAACTGTTTGGAAAAGTCTCGATTGAGAAGAAGGACGCAGTAGGGATTGATGTATGACAGGATTCCGTTGGATATTGGATAGAGGGCTCGCATGGTATAGATTGGACCGGTCTAGAGATTTTTAAATTGCAGCTTTTATTAAATTTCTTTCAAACTGACATTTCGGGTCTGCGAAAAATAATTCTGAAAAATGTAATAAGCAAACATCACAAAAAAGGCGCAAAGTAGAGCAAGGACTTGAAAAGCCAAATGCATTTCTCTTTGGAGTGATCTGAAAAATTGTTCCTGTTTCTGGAACTGTATTTAAATACATAGTTTCATTTTTGAAGATTGTTTTCATTAAAGGAGGCCAGACACAAAAAAAAAAGTTTTCCTGATATTTTGCATAGAGAACCCCCATGAGGGGTTGATCTCATGACAGGCAGCTCAGGGGTATATCGCCGCTACCGGCTGAGATACGGGGGCGCAAAGGCACCTGACGACCGATGGTTTACATAAGCGCGGCGCGATTTCGGCCCCCGAATTGCCCCCGAAATTTTTGCTGTCTCGCCTCCTTTAAATTTAGATATTCCATAACTTACAACTAGCTATTTATCAGGATTCTTTAGCACAACAACTCACTTGGATATTCCAGAAGAATGTTTCTTCAAAAACAACCATAATGCTGAATAGGATGCAGCGCATATAAAACAGGTCAGTGCGACTACGATAAGAGCCATCAATGTGTTACGCTGAAAAAACATGATTTTTCAACCCCCAGATGGCATGGACCCATGATATGGGTCATATCTTTTCAATTACCACAATCACAGGTCTCGGTGCGACAATCTCCATTGTTGTTATATCATCGTACTCGAAGTCGATGTCTTTAAGAACCACGATACTTATAAGAAAGGGAACTACCCAGTAGACCAACATAATTTGGTAAGAAGGCGCTTCTTGAATTTTCATAGTCAGAAAACTATGAGGTGCAGAAATGACAAGATATCTGTGGATGGAAAGGAAAACGATACCAGCACAACGGATGTAGAGGAAGAAGTAAATGGAATTGTAAGTAAAGGCAGCGATGTAATATTTTTGATATTCGAAATAGAAGTCTTTCAGTCCTGGGAGCATTCGAATACCCCAAATCACTGTGAACACAATCATTGAAATGATGTCAGCGATGCACTGAAACAGTGAAAATAGTTGGATAAATTTTTGTTATTTATATTTATATTTCTGTTTCAATTGACTATTATCAAGAATGGCGGTTTGATTCGATAGTCAATATTCTATAACTGGAAGAATATAACCGTTTATTGTTTTGGTAGCTCGTTGATAAGTTAAAAACTAAAATTCTTGCGCTTTTGAATGAAATTCAAGTTTTCAAAATAGATGGTATCAACAAGAAGAATTGGAGGAACCATATGATTAACTAGACTTAAGGAACGGCTTTGAAAATTTCAGTAGCTTTGAATTAAACGTAAAATTATATTTCTACCTAAACTGTGCGCTACTATTCAAACTTACATGTTGCAAGAGAATCGTATAAAACGTGGTATTATAGGTCTTCGAGTAATATCTCAATCTCAATAAGCATATCAACACAAAAATATACAATGGAAGACTAGGAACAGACATAACATAGTAGACATACAAAGGCCACTGTGGAGGATTATCCATTGACTTATTCATTTCAATAAAAAATAGTCCAATTCAGGAAACTCGAGAAAGATCAAAGAGAACAAAGTATTATGGGGAAAAATATGAAAATGTAATTATAGACAGGGATAGGTGCCAGTGGGCGGGAATAAAAAATAAGGGAAACATGGGAAAGTCCATGAGAAAGTTGTACTCTTTTTGTGACTTTAGAAATTATTTTATGATAGAATTTAGGGTAGGATTATTACAGATTAGGCTCTCGAATTTCGATGAATTATTGGGGCTGTTGTAACGGTGGACACTTTCACTTCCATCTGAAAATCATCTTTTGAGTTCATTGGTTTTAAGGAAACAACAAACCACTCGGACACCTTCGCACTTTAACGTTCTCATGAACTCTCTGCAGAATTCTCGATTCAGAAAAAGGACACAATATGGATTGATGTAGGAGAGGATTCCGTTGGAAATGGGGTAGAGAGCCCGCATTGTATAAACAGGACCGGACTGTAAGAAATGGAATGGGTTCGAAAAAATACAATGAGTATTGGGATATCTTCCTAGAACATTTTAATTATTTCTGAAAAGATACATACAATACAAAGTTTAAAAGGTGAATTCTCAAAAGTTTCTAATTCCAGATGAAAGTGTTTTATGAAACCCATCCACATATATTAGGTTGGCGGGAAAGTCTTTGTCACTCTGTTTGTTTAATCACTGTTCTCGTATATGGAGGCTGTGTATGATATCGACTCTAGTGAATAACAAGGTGATAAGAACCTTCCATATAAACAAGTCCCCATTTCCTTCCCTGCTCCTCATCTGTAATTGAAACGATATGTTTGTTCCCACTGCTATTCACATCAGACATGTTTTGATTTACCTCTTCCTATCTCACACCACGATGAAGGATTCGGAAACTTTCTTGAAGAATGTGTACAACACACATGCCCCTCACTACAATACTATTCGCAATTGGTTCCATCGTTTCGAAAAAGATGACTTCTCGCTCGATGAAAAGGATCGCTCTGGGAGACCCCGTGAGTTGGATTTGGACAAGCTGAAGCACGCATTGCAATCGGATCCATTTCAATCTAGCCGTGAACTAGCTGTCACATTCGGAGTTCACCATAGCACAGTCCTTGAAGGTTTGAAGTCTCTTGGAATGAGAAAACTTTTTGGTCGATTCATACGTCATCACCTGACTCAAGCCAACCTTGACCGCCGAGTCGACGATTCGATTACTCTTCTCACTCTCCACGCGGGCGATCGATGGCTGGACCGGCTAATAACCGGAGATGAGAAGTGGGTCTTCTACGATAATCACCACAGGAAATCCCAGTGGGTTGGAGAAGGAGAGAGCCCACAGGATGTCCCCAAACCCGACCTTCATCCGAAAAAAGTTATGCTCTCTGTGTGGTGGGGAGTGGACGGCCCCATCTACTGGGAACTTCTGCCCGAGGGCAAAACAATAACTGGAGACTTCTACACTACTCAACTACGAAACCTCAAGAAAGCAGTCGACCGTTCGGCCCTGAAAGACAAGAAAGTGTACTATCAACATGATAACGCTCGCCACATGTTTCGAAACAAGTGAAGCAGGAGCTGATGGGATATGGATGGAATGTTCTCCCTCACCCCCCGTATTCTCCTAATCTTGCTCCTTCCGACTATTGGTTATTTGGCGATATGACACGTGCCTTCGAAGGAAGAAGCTTCAATTCCCGTGGAGCGGTCGAAGCGGCACTCAAACAATACTTTGCCTCACGCCCGGCTGGATTCTACCGCAATGGAATCCATAAATTGAGGGAACGTTGGAGACATGTTGTTGATAATGATGGACAATATAATTAATTATTCGGTTATTTTTTCTTTGAGAAATAAACTATTGAAAAAGTGACAAAGACTTTCCCGCCAACCTAATACAATATTGGAACAATGTTTTCAATGTTCGTATAAACCTTCTAAAACAGTAAACTTCCAGTGTATCGCTGATCTTCTTGCCATGATTGTTTTCTTCATCGCCGTGGATGCAAGATACTATTCGTTCTTAAGAGAGTACTATTTTAAATACCAAGAGTATTATGTTGCAGCAGGTATAATTTAAAATCAATCTTAACTACTTTTGTATTTACTAATTTCCAGCCAGTTATAACAACATCTACTATTTCCTGTACATCCGATGCACTGGAATCGTGTTTCTTTCTATTCAACGTTATTTAATTATCACTGCCCCAACATCACTCATCACTCATGTAATGTCGAGAACATTGCCATCGTAATTCATTCAAAAATTTTTCAGAAAGTTCAAAACGCTTCGAAACTGCAAATAATAACAGTTTATTGGGTAGTTCCGACACTGATTAGTATTGTGGTTTTGAAGGATTATAAATTTACGTATTCAGAGAATATGGACATAATGGCAGATCAGGAAGTTATAAAGGTATAGCCAAACATCCTAATTTCCATCAATGTATCTTTTTCAAAAACATTTTTAAAGCTAATTTCGAAAATTTTTTTGAAAATCATGCACTGCGGTTTCATGTGAGGAATGGAATGGGAACAATCTCTCAACATAGTTTTTCTAGGCCACCATATGTTGTGGATGGCTCAGATATAATCTAACATTTTCCTGATGTGTTTTCTAGGTCATTTAACATGTGGACTAACTTTTGTGAGTTTAGTATTCTAGACAACCAATTTTTATACCGTTGAAATGGCCTGTAGTTTTCCTGGTGTGTTCTCCAGGCCATTTTATCATGTTGGCCGAAATTTCGTAAGTTTATTTTCCTAGGCCACCATGTAATCGTGGCCAGATATTTGCCTGGTGTGATTTACCATGGTCGCCAAGGAAACTAAACTTTCGAAAGTTATGCCGCCATGTTAAATGACCTAGAAAATACACCGGGAGCATGTTAGATTCTTTCTGGACCATTCATTATGGTTTCCTAAAAAAATAACGTTAAGAAAGTTAGGCCACTATTCCTCACATGAAACCGGGCTGTGTGATTTTCGACATTGATTGAAAATAATTTCGAAATCTCGATTTTGAAGATTATCCTAAAAACCATGTTCCTTTCAGAGAAACACATTGATGGCTCTGATTGTAGTTAGTCTGACATGCATTCTATGTTCTTCACTTTATGGATCACTTTTCTATTATATTCGAAGACACACTGCCGGCTTTTCGAGGTAAGAATTCTAAATAATTTTTTTTCTGTTACCAAGTTTCTTGATTTTTAAAACTAAAGTTCTAGATCTCTCCGCCGAGAAGTTCATTTGGCAATCCAGGTTTTTGTTCTGCTCCTAGCATTTTTTGCGATTCTTGTTTATTATGGGTTTCAAAACTATTTCTCACAAACTCAAAATGTAAGACACATAAGTTCTGGGACAATATATTTTTGAAGACTACAGACGGGACCAATATTCTACATGCGAGCTTTATACCCGATGGCAAATGGATTACTCTCCTACATTAATCCGTTTTGCATCTTATTTTTGAACAAGGATCTAGCCTATCAAGTTATGAAGTCGGTGACTTGCAGAAGACTTAATACAGTCAGTTTTTAAAAGTAAATTGATTTATCAAAAAAATTCAGAGCGAAGTACACATCTCCGTAGTGGCGTCAAACTCGAATAAGCATCAAGGGAAGGTGATACATGTTGGATCGACTAGAACGGATGAATCGACAGTCGTGAATCATAATAATTTTGTTGTGTGATTTGTATTAGGAATCCTAATCTTTTAATAATAAATTTTTGCTAATAAGGCCACCAGATGAAAAATAAAACTCCAAAAGATACCGTAACATCTGTAATATAAGGGACCCTAACTTTTAACTCTGAGACAGGTTTTCTATGTTCCTATCAAAGATAATAAAAAGGTACCAAGTGATAAGTTGTTTATCATTTTATCAGAAAAGATTTATCAATTGACACCACTTTGATATCTTGCATATGAACCAAAAAAATGGTCAAGATTAACAATGTGGGGTACCTTCTATTACGGGTTTTAAGGTATGTATGTTCTTCCTGTTGTACATATATCATCTGATCCCAATTAGTCAGAATCATATCCTGGCGTAGATGTAGTTGCTGATGTTGGTACGACAACCAATAAAAGTTTCTTACGTACTCTTCATTTTCTATTCAATCAGTCTTCTATTCACAGTCTACTCATCTCCAGCAACACATTTTTGCTTCTTGAGGCTCTTGCTCTCCAAATAGAGAAATCTTCGATCTCTATGTGTAACCCAGAACTTGTATAATCAGTGAGTTCTCACGGAAGTACACGTACCCTTTCTTGTTTCAATTTGACACAAATACACTCACTCTTAGCTCTTTTGATATAACACTTACCAGCATGGAACCACCTAGTTGGCCATTGTATATATTCTATGGAATTGAGATTCCGAGTCTTCCCCTGTATCTTATGGTTCTGATATGTTTGTTGCAATTGAGATGCTACTCGAAAACCTATAAATCAACGTTTTACATTATTCTTTTGCAACATGTAAGTTTTAAGAAAATCATTTTTAGTTTTATGATAGAAATTTCCTCTCAAAATTTTTTCTAGAGAAAAATCTCTTGAAAAATCTTTGAGAGAAAATTTTTCACGGCTGATAATGCAGTTTAATTCGTTTTTTGAATGCATATAAATAAATTTATTTGCGTATCTGCATAGTATTTTTGTGTATTTATTTGCCATTTTTATTGCAAATTTATTACGTGCATAACCCCATAAGCGAAGTACAACGATTCACTCAAAGTTTATGCTAGTAAGAACTTTAGTCCGTGTAACACACTATATTATGATGCTCTAATCTGAAAAATATCTACTGATATTTAAAAAATTTTCTGTTTTATGATTTCTATCAAACGGTCCTTCGGTCATTTAGTCGATTTTCCTATTTTAACCAAAGCTCCATATTGTTTTAGTGTATTGCTGACATCATCATAATGATATTCTACACTGCCACGTGGGGTCTTCGTACAAAACCTGCAATCCGTGACTTCCTTTTTGAATACCAAGAATACTACATCGCCGCTGCCTTGTACAACTCTATCTATTACACTTTATACATCCGTTGCACTGGAATAGTATTTCTATCCGCCCATCGGTATCTGGTGATTTCGGCTCCAACTTCTCGTATCACTTCTATAATTCAAGATGCTGCTACGTGGAAAATTGTATTAGTCTACTGGGCGGCACCTACAATTATTAGTTTGGTTGTTCTGAAGGAGACAAAGATAAAGTACGATAATGTGACGACTCTAGAATATGTGGCGGACAAGGAGATATTGTCGGTAATAACACGATTAATGAAAATAAATGTGCACCTGTTTTTTTTTCCAAAGAAACACTCTGATGGCCCTTATCACCTTATCTTCTACTTGTTTGATATGTATTGCTTGCTATATGGTTATGTGGATTATCATTCGTAAACATAAGCATGGAAATCAGAAGTGAGTCCTAATATAGCTGTTAAGAACATGACCTACATACTTCAGTATCAGCAGATCCCTCCAACGAGAATTCTTCTTGGCATTTCAAGTCCTGGCTCTGCTCTGCGCGTTTTTCATTATGTTCACCTATGCTCTTGTTAACTACTTCTCACGAACTCAAAATGTAAACCCTTCTTATTTTCATTTTGGTTCAATCTGAAACATTTCCAGACCGGCCTTTTTTTTTACATGCGTTCAGTGTATCCAATTGCGAATGGTATCCTCTCTTATATCAATCCGTACTGCGTACTTTTGCTCAACAGAGATTTCTCAAAACAGTTCAGAGGGATGTTGAAGTGTAGGCAGGCTGAAAAGGTAATTTAGAAACATAACAATTTTCCCAAAAAATGATGGACTTCAGACAAGCAGAAGAGTTTCCACATTGCAATCCGGTATATCGAATCCAGCAATTCGAACCAGCTCATCACAAGTTTTTGCTTAATTTGGAATAATTTGCTTATTTTACAACATTATTTGAAACAGCCCATAGATTATACTAAATGCTATTGTACTCTGTAATTCCAGACAATTTATGACAATCTACTGTTTCAAAAGTTTTTCTTTCAAAATTAAGAAGAGATATCAGAACTCAGAAATCTGATGTTCATGGTGTCGTTATAAAAATCCTGGAATATTACTGAATTATCCAAGTTAACAAGATCTCTGGTCATTAACTCCATCCGTGTTCCGTTCGCCAACTTATCTCGGAAATTAATTAAAAAACTTGTTTTTCACACTGGACCTGAATTTCATTCAAACGTTTCCCTTACTTTGTTTTTTCCCCAAATCCTGATGTCATTCCACCCCATTTCCTTCTCTACCAATCTTTGTGCTTGAAATCTTCCTCCACGTGCCGGAATCTGTTTTCTCACGAATCCAAGGATACTATAGGATCCTCGTGCTTACTATTATTGTGCAGCCCAAATTGCAAACATAATTTACTTCCTTTTTTTTGGAGCAATGGAGCCTCTTCTCTGGCCATTGCATGCGTATTACTGTGTCTCTTCCTTCAGTCTCCCATTGTATATTTTAGTGCTAATCTGTCTAATGAAATTGAGATGTTGCTCGAAAATGTATCAGACTGCGTTTTATACTATTCTTTTGCAGCATGTAAGTAGAATTTTTATCGAGCCTGATAATAAACCAGATGCTCGCAGAACCACTTTTCGTAATTTTCGAAATCTAGGAAGTATAGAAAATACCGATTTTTTTTAATTTCCGGAATTCCAAGAACATTTTAACGATATTTTTCAAACAACGTTTTATTTCGCAATTTTGGATAGCCAGAATTTAAGAAAAATTCAAACTTTCTTTGTAGAGCATCAAAATACTTGAGATTGAACGCAATGCACAGTTTTTGTGATAAAAGTATAGTACTTTTTTAAACCATTAGCACATGGCTAAAATGAAATGCATCATTTGCTTGAAACCGGAAATTATGTAATTTTCCAGTGTATTGCTGACATTTTCACTATGATCGTGTACATCAGCTCTTGGGGTTTTCGAACTCTTCCTGGCATAAAAAATCTATATTTTTTATACAAAGACTATTATATACCAGCTTGGACCTATAACTCTGTGTACTATACTTTATACATCAGATGTTCTGGAATCGTGTTTCTTTCTCTCCATCGTTATTTGGTCATATCTGCCCCGCATAGTTTTCTGACTACAGTAGCTCAAGAGGCATCAACGTGGAAGATTATATTGGCATATTGGACCGTTCCTACTTTAGTGAGCATTGTGGTGTTGAAAGATACAAATATTACTTACGATTCATTGGAAATCATGGAGTTGGTAGTGGAGAGATCAATTATTACAGCAAGTAGCCTCACAAGGCTGTCGTAATATTTTTCTTCAGCGAAACACCTTAATGGCTCTGATAATTGTGGCACTTACATGCTTCATATGTACGGCATCTTATATGGCAATGTGGGCGATTCTGAGAAGACATTCTGCAAGCCATTCAAAGTAAAAAAAGTTTTTCCTACTTTTTTAGGTTTGAAAGTTTTACAGATCTTTGCAGAGGGAATTGCACCTAGCGTTTCAAGTGTTAGCATTGTTGTGTGCGTTTTTTGTGATGTTTCTGTATTATTTATTGCAAAACTATTTTTCACAGACACAGAATGTAAGTATAAAAACTGGTATTAGGTTGGCGGGAAAGTCTTTGTCACTTTTTCAATAGTTTATTTCTCAAAGAAAAAATAACCGAATAATTAATTATATTGTCCATCATTATCAACAACATGTCTCCAACGTTCCCTCAATTTATGGATTCCATTGCGGTAGAATCCAGCCGGGCGTGAGGCAAAGTATTGTTTGAGTGCCGCTTCGACCGCTCCACGGGAATTGAAGCTTCTTCCTTCGAAGGCACGTGTCATATCGCCAAATAACCAATAGTCGGAAGGAGCAAGATCAGGAGAATACGGGGGGTGAGGGAGAACATTCCATCCATATCCCATCAGCTCCTGCTTCACTTGTTTCGAAACATGTGGGCGAGCGTTATCATGTTGATAGTACACTTTCTTGTCTTTCAGGGCCGAACGGTCGACTGCTTTCTTGAGGTTTCGTAGTTGAGTAGTGTAGAAGTCTCCAGTTATTGTTTTGCCCTCGGGCAGAAGTTCCCAGTAGATGGGGCCGTCCACTCCCCACCACACAGAGAGCATAACTTTTTTCGGATGAAGGTCGGGTTTGGGGACATCCTGTGGGCTCTCTCCTTCTCCAACCCACTGGGATTTCCTGTGGTGATTATCGTAGAAGACCCACTTCTCATCTCCGGTTATTAGCCGGTCCAGCCATCGATCGCCCGCGTGGAGAGTGAGAAGAGTAATCGAATCGTCGACTCGGCGGTCAAGGTTGGCTTGAGTCAGGTGATGACGTATGAATCGACCAAAAAGTTTTCTCATTCCAAGAGACTTCAAACCTTCAAGGACTGTGCTATGGTGAACTCCGAATGTGACAGCTAGTTCACGGCTAGATTGAAATGGATCCGATTGCAATGCGTGCTTCAGCTTGTCCAAATCCAACTCACGGGGTCTCCCAGAGCGATCCTTTTCATCGAGCGAGAAGTCATCTTTTTCGAAACGATGGAACCAATTGCGAATAGTATTGTAGTGAGGGGCATGTGTGTTGTACACATTCTTCAAGAAAGTTTCCGAATCCTTCATCGTGGTGTGAGATAGGAAGAGGTAAATCAAAACATGTCTGATGTGAATAGCAGTGGGAACAAACATATCGTTCAATTACAGATGAGGAGCAGGGAAGGAAATGGGGACTTGTTTATATGGAAGGTTCTTATCACCTTGTTATTCACTAGAGTCGATATCATACACAGCCTCCATATACGAGAACAGTGATTAAACAAACAGAGTGACAAAGACTTTCCCGCCAACCTAATAATTACGAGGCCATGAAAACATCTAGCCTAGAGTATACTCTTCCAAAACTATAGATGACGTTTATCATAGTTATTTTTCCAGAATATACACATTCTATGGGAATGGAGCTAAATGTGACAATGGGAAATCGGATTTTTCAGGAGTTTTGTTTCTAGTTTGATTGCCACCAAGAAAAATCTGATAACGAATGAATTAGCTAATTAAAGCAGTCTTCACAATTTTAATCATACGATAAAGTCTTACTTTAGCTAGGTAATACCGCAAAACCCGGAATAGAAGGGCCCCCATATTATCCAATTTGAGCTAAATTATCTCGGCTTCTCTAATGGGGTTATTCAGGGAGTCGGCAAAAAAGAAAAAAAAAACTCCACGAAAACTCGGAGAGTGTTCCAATCTGGCTGAAACTTTGGGGAAAACTGGAGAAAACTTTGGCTGGAATTTCACACTAATTTTCAAAGTCGATATTTTGACCCCAAACTTTGGC